TCAATTGCTATTTTCCCTTTAATCTTGTCGAAAAGTATACCGTCGTGTAAATTATATAAACTTGAGTTAAACTGAGATTAAATCGCTACGTAAATTTAAAAAAATTACCACTCGAACACCTCGTCTAACTGTCATAATTTGCAAGAATTGCACATTAACAATATATGCATCCTAAAGTAAATAATTGCAGGATGATAAAGGATTATTTAAAAATCAGCTTAAGTTAAATACTTGTAAATATAATGAGAATTATTTTCTTTATAATAGATTATTTGATTATATGAATGTGAAAATCCTTTTTACAAATTTAACAGGTCTTTTATAATAATAATTATAGATATGTATCTGATTTGCTATAATAATAGTATAAAGTTTAGATTCATATAAAGGATTTAGAATAGTTAATTATATAATATCATTAAATATTATAAATTCTATTGATTTAATAGTTTAATAGTAATTATAAATATATGCAATACTTTTATTTTAAAATTTAACTAAATTAAAAAAATTTATAATCTTTTTGAAATCTGTAAAGTCAGATTTTTTATAAAGTTTTTTAAGAACTATAATTTATGAACGAAATAGTTTGTATAATAAAAATTTCTATTTGTAAATAAAGTATAACTATTATCACTATTAAAGAGTATATCTTAAAGGCAAAACTAACAGTTTTTAGCTATACTTAAGATTATAAATAAGGTTGATAATCCAAATTTTTTGAATATTATGTTAAAATAAAGTTATTTTTAATAAAAATAAGTGTCTCTAATTCTTATAAAAGAAGGGATAGAAATAGTTATAGGTTTATTAATATTATTATATAATAAATAGGTATTAAGTTAGAATAAATCTCTTATTATTGATAAATTATTTCTATTATTAGGGTTAAGTAGAGATTATTGAAATATTCTTTAGATATTTTGGTAATTTCTTAACTTTTTTCAGTTATATATAAGATCTTGAGGGTTAATAAAGTCTTTATCTAGAGTTTAAATTTATTAAGCGTAATTTATATACTTTTTATAAATTTTATCTAGGTTTTATTATTAAATTTAGATTGATTTGATATATTATAAAGTAATATTTTTCATTAATGAAAAGTCTGAAAAAAGTAGAGGTTATAGATTTAGATCTAGTTTGAGATAGAAATCTTTAAATTATTTACTTCTTAGATAAAACTTGACATTAATCTGATATAGTAAAAATTTTATTATGAATTTTATTAGAAAGGATATATTAAGTCATATAGGTTAATAAGAAATGGGTTAAAATATGTTTAACTTATAAAAAAGATTCATTTATATTTATTATTAAGTATTTTTTTTCTCAATGTAGTACTATTATAAGTTTATTAATTTATGTTATAAATATTACAATTAAAAATTAAAAAATAAAAGTTATAAGTAAAAAATAATAAAATTAAATTATGATTATCTCTTGTGATTCTATTATAAATCTGTTTAAATCAACTATTTACTGAATCTTCCTTCTGAAAAAATCAAAAGATTTATATCTAATGATTAAAATATTAGTAAAAGGTTCAAATGATAATATTAATGCCAGTTTAAAAATCCAATCAAGTGAAATCAAATTTCATAACCAAAAAATATTAAGTTATTCAAGTATCTGAGACTTTATGAAGGATCTTAGAAATAAGCGAATGATTTTTTATCTTGATTTTTTTCTTTTTCAGTCTAATTAAAATTCTTTTTGATCTTTTTATTATTAGGTATTAATTAATAGGTTAGCAAAAAGTTGAAGATAGGAATTGTTTTAAATTAATCAGGTAGTAGCTCATTGTAAAATTAGATCTTAAGTTGACTGTTCTGTTAAATTATTAGTAGTGTTGTCATTTAATTCTAAAATAACACCTAGAGTTTTGAAATATAAGGTATGTACTTTAATATTGCAGAATAATCTATAGTTTTTAGTTAGACTTTTATATTCAGTATAAGAGTTATTATTTAAATCTATTATTAAGATATAGTAAAGATAAATAGATGATAAATATATTTTTTATATAAAAGGATAAAGATAATTTCTTTTGGTATTGATAAAAAATGAAAATAAAAGAATCTTATAAAAGTTTTTTATAAGAGTTGAGGTTAGGGTTAAATAATGTTAAAATATTAATATTTAGTATATGCCATTATATTGGTAAATATTTAAAGAATTATAAAATAACCAAGAACTTTTTAAGTATAAAAACTTTTACAATATATGTAAGGGTTCAGGATTATTATTTTAAGATATTTTTTTTTAAAATTGATTATATAGACTTTATAACTTAGATAATAGTTTTTGATAGGGTGGTTGTAGATTAATTTAATAGTTTAGGTTTAAGTTTGGAATAAGGTTGTTAAGGTTGAGAGTGATGCAAGGTTTGAGTCAGGTTAAAGAATGTTAAAATCTAAAGTTTCATAATTTATATTGAAAAGGTAGATATTATTTATTTAATGAGTCATAGTGAATCTTTTCTTATTATTATAATGATTAATCTTTTTTTTTATCTGAGTTTATAAGATGAAAATTAGAGGCTTTTATATTTTTATTATTAATATTATCTTTTATTTTTAGATATACTGTATTTCTTGATTTGAATAAAAATTCTGATGGGATTTGATGAAATCAAATGAAGAAAATTAGGTTAGATTTAATATTTTAGGTAACTGTAAGAATGTTTTTATTATTTCTGTATGGTCTAGATTTTATTAACAAAGAAAAAAATTTTATTTGTTTTTAACAAGTTTCAACTTGAAATGAATAGGGGTTTCAGGGCAGTGATTTGAATATAAAATATCAAAATAAAGAATCTTCAAAATTTATATTTAAATTTTTATTTAAGATATATTTTAGATACTATTTTTATTTATACAAATAAAAAATGCTTTTATTAAAGACGAAAAAAAAATAATAGAGATAAAATATATGTGTAGAAAAAGAAATGAAGGAAGCTAGTATGCTAAAATAGATGAAATTTTAAAAAATTTGTCATTTACATGTAAGAAAAATATAGGTTTAATGTTTTTTTAAATTAATTTTACAAACTTTTAAATACTTTATCTAATACTTTAATTTAATTTTGTTCAGTATCTAAAAAAAAATTAATTCAAAAGTAGTTCAGATATCTTAATATTTGAGAAGTTAGTTTAGAGGTCATTGATGTTAAAAATTTAATAAATTCCTTATAATAGAAGAAGAAGATAATATGTAAAATCTCTCTGCTAGTTTGATAATTAAATATGATAAATATGCAGAGATTACTTAAGAATAGAATATTCTAAAGAATTAGGCATTACAAATAAAGATTTTTTTTGAGGATTATTGTGATTCTTGCAATTCTTGCGAGTCTTGTTAATTTTGTGGTTCTTGTAGTAAGGGGTTGACTTCTAATGCTGCTGCTAAAGATCGATTATTTGGACTGGTGATGGTGATATCGCTCATTTGTCTTAATATGGTACAGACACTTTTAGACATACTTTTTAGATCATATCACAGGTTACAAATGAAAAATTTACTCATTATCTCATTTTGACTGAGAAATACCCCAGTATATTACTATATGAAATATAGGATGGGGAATTATTAGATCTTTTTTTGGGTTTGTGATTGGGAAAAAAAAAACGAAATTTCGAATCTTCAAGTGAAGAAGATTGTATTTGGAGTTTCTGAAATTTTTTCATATGAATAAAGTATCTTTTATTTTCCCAAGCTTAAGAAATCGTGGTGTGTTCCTTTAGAAGGAAATTCGAAATATAAAGGTCACGAAGAGGTGATTTAAAAGGTTATATTGGTAAGATTTGATCATTTACATTTAAAAGGGAGAGGGTGGAGGATGGGCTTACTAGATCCTAGATATTAGGATAATCGATTAAGTAATAGATTAGGAGTAATAGGAAGAAGTCTACTCGAAGACCTAAGAAGAAAATCGCAGGTATTTTTCTTCCTAAAACGGCGGAGTAGATCTCACCAAAAATGGGGCGGAATAAGAAAAAAATATATGTTCGAGGATCTCTCCTTTTTAGGAATCATGTGTATTGGACAGATTAGGAAAAAAAATGGCGTTTTGTTTTCTTCGATAATAATTAATTAAACAGTATGAAATAAAGAATACTTTTTTATCACATCATCACTTTGAATGAAAAGGTTGCACTAAAATATTTTTAACAAAACTTTTAAAACTTATAAATTATATGATAAAAACCTATTTTGCGTTTGCAGTATATTGATAATTGTCGTCCTTAACCGTATAGAAGAATCCTTCGGTTTGCTTCAATCGTGACTAATTAATTAATACTGTGATTCATTAATTCGTTTCAGACAATTATTATTTAATTTGTCCCGTTATTTCAAAAAGAAATTTATTTATGTATCTCGAAGATCAATTATAATAAATTTTTTTTGAATTAAAAAAAATGATTTCGATTAGTAAATAATATTGAAATTGGACATTTTAATATAAAATTATGAACGAGATGGCTCTAATGGAAGTAGTATTATGGATTCAATAATTAAAAAGTAATAATTTATGAAGTTAACGCTTTTCATTTTATTCTCGTACAGAAAATACTTTCATGTAAAGTTTAAGTAATACAGGTGAATTGAAACATAATTTTTATTTTAATGATGGCATGTATTACATAGCGAATAAATATATGTTATTATCAATGCGACCAAATACAAATAAATGAATAAAAATAGAAAGGAACGAAGTCATACTTTCGTCGAGTTCGTGCATGAATTATTATTGGAACAACGCTGCTTTGTTGTTATCAAACATACATTTTATTGTTTTGATTTTCGGCAAAAATTTAGCCGAAAATTAATTGCATCTCTGGCTCGGTTAATTTTCGGTAGTTACCGTGTCACCTTATGATACAGGAACGAAGATCATGCGATAATTTAATTTTTGAATAAAGACACCATTTTTTTGGACATTCCCCACTTAAAAATCCCTTGATTTCAAATCCAAAAAAAAAGAATCCCTTTTTTCAACTATGTCTTTGCATAAATTATTGGAAAATTTTGCAATTCATGATTACTTTTCATTAATAGGTATCGTATTAGCAATCTACGTGGCGCAATATTATTACAAGTATTTCACTCGCGTGAATCCTTTACCTGGTCCATTCCCATTCCCATTTTTTGGGAACGTACCTCAATTCACATTAATTTTTGGCGGAAATTTCAAAGAATTTCTTGAATATAATCAAAAGAAATATGGTGACATTTACGAAGTTTACTTGGGAGTTCGACGCATTATGCTTAGCCGTGCAGAATATGCTGAAAAACTATTGATGCCTTCAACAAATAGTCAATTTATGATGAGATTTCCTTACCACAAGGGATTTGCAGAATTAGGAATGATGGGAAGAGGGTTGATTGCGAATCATGATTTGAAATCTTGGAGATTTAATCGTCAATTTTTTAATCAAGCAATTTTTGCACCGAAATTTACTCATGAGGCTATTGATTGGACGAATAAACTTTTCAACGAGTTGGAAAGTTATTGGAACAAGTTATATCTTAAAGAGGAATTCATTAAAGAAAATAAAAATAAATTGGATTTTTCCGCATGGTTAAATCGTTATACAAATGATATGATTATCGCATTGACAACCGGTGAGAGATCTTATACGATGGCTGCATACTTTAACACTCAAGGCGATGAGAAAGCCGTACATCCACAAGCGATCATTGATGATTCTGAAACATTCGTTCGAGCATTTCGTAAACACATTATAGGAGCACCAATTTTTATATTATTTCCTCCTTTTGTCAGACATTACGTTCCATTTATTAAGGGTAGATCGGACGCTTTACTTAAAAACATTGGATTCATCTATCAAAGAATGGAGCACATTATTAAGAAACGCAGACAAGAAATTGAGAACACGCCGTTGGATAAACCTTTATCACATGATATGCTGACCTCGGTGATCACGGCGAATACCACTCGCGACATCAATCGAGTTAAAACTGTTGAAGGTGAAGCTATGGACAGACCTATGACTGATCTTGAAATCCGTGGTATCATGTTTGATGCATTTATCGGTGGAACCGATACGGTAAGCGTATTATGATCAAATATCATTTTGTCATGATTAAAAAATTTTTTTTAATATTTCTTTTCAATTGTAGACCGCGAATATGATTACATTCATTATTTATTATATCGCACATAACCCGGATGTGAAGAAGAAGATGTTGGAAGAAATTGATGGAATTTTCCAAGGTGATAAAACGCGTCCAATCACCGAAGACGATTTTCATAAACTAAAATACTGTGAAGCGATCGTAAAAGAAACTGATCGTGTGCTTCCGGTTTTGAATATGGTGGTGAGGTATTGTCAGGAACCTGATGAAATTGCGGGTTATAATTGGCCAGCTGGTACAATGTTTCATGTGAGCGCCGTTACTATTCACAAACATCATGATTATTGGGAAGAACCTGAAAAGTTCAATCCTGATAGGTGGATGGTTAAGGGTTTCGAGCCAAAGAAATATTCTTTTATCATGTTTGGTGGAGGGTTGAGGATCTGTCCGGGAAGAAAGTTGGCAATGATTGAATTAATTTGTTTGATGGCTTTGTTGTATAGAAAGTATGAAATTGATTTAGTAGATATGGAATCTCCTCTAAAAACTGTGTCAACCGCTCTAACCGCTTGTCCTGAATTGTTCGTTAAGGTTAGACCAAGATTTTGAAATAACTAACCAGGCACATTTTATATTTATGACCTATCAACTCATTTTGTATATTTTCTTTACTTATTATTTTTAACGATAACATAACATATGTAAAATATTTTTTCTTTCAAATAAAAAAATTTCTTTTTATAATTACCTTGTGTCACATATTACAAAATAATAATAAACGTTAAGAAAATTAAAACAGACAAAATGTTAAAATATTGCACCAAAAAATACGCAGCACCGAATTTCCCATCAGAAGGAAAGAACAATACATACGAATGTAATGTTTAAACCATTTAGAATGTCCTTTTTGCAAAATGATCACAGAGCTTAAAAATCGAGTCACGTGACATGATCATAATCATTGTTCGTTGTCGAAAAGAAAGCATTTTGGTCTCTAAAACAAACTTTTAACAGGTTTATGTTGCTAAAGTTTTGATTATTGTTATTTTCCAAGAACCATTTAGCAAGGTATAATTTTTATTTATTTTGTTGTTATACTTGATTTATAATATTTTCCACATCGTTCCTTCTTTAATCTTCTTTTTCCTTTTGAACAAATAACACAAAGATACAAACTTCGACTTTCGATACTACCATTTCGTTTACCATAATTATAATTCTTTGTACACTATCCATTTAAATAATTACATAATAAATGAAATTATACAGGATAATATCCAACGCGACCAAGGTTTCGTTATGATTTTTTTTCTGGTATTTTGTTTAATCTAGAAAACAAAATTAACACAAATGATAATAATATAAAAATGGCTGTCCAATAAACATTATCAGTTGGTTCTACCGCTACGTTACGGTTTCGATACGTAAAATATTCTTGTTTCTAAAATCACTTCAAAAATGATAGGACTAATGGAGAAGATTTAGATGACAATTGACATTGATCGTATTGAAGGTAGACATCCATTAACCGAATAAATGGAATCTACACACCATAAATCTCGTTGAATTGAGGACATAAATATAACTTGCACAGTAAATGCCTTACCAGAAGAAAGGTGTGTATTATGAAGAAGAAATCAATCCAAAATCTTTCTTTTTGAAGGACATACTGTAAAAGGACCAGATCATGAAATAGAATAAAGATTCCTGGATAAAAGGTAACCGGGAAGTAATCATGAAATATTCAATTGAAATTAAGAATCTCCACGGATTTCCAAAGTTATAATGCTAAGGGAGAGATTTTTTTATAGAAAGAAATTGTAAAGTACATTGGAGAAAAAATCGGAAATTGAATAAATTGTGTAAATAGAATTTCAAATTTACGCATTACCAAGGTTCCAAGGATAAGTAAAAAACACAAACAAATAATTTTAAATTTTAGAAAATAATTGAAGCACGGAATATTTCAAATAAGGTTTTTTTTTTTAGAATGTATCATTCATACAATGAAAAATCCAATTTATAAAACTTTATTTTTATTATAACTTCAATTTACTCACTAAAATAAATTTATATAATGATTTCTTTAATTGAATATGATCAAACAAAAAAAAAATCAAGTAGTTACGCCAAAACTAATTTTTATTAGATAACTTTTGTAATGTAAGATGTATCAAGAAGATAAAACGAAATCAATTATTTTTTTCAATGTATGACAGCCAAGTAAAAATTGATTTCCGAATTAACATAATTTATTAATAAACTTGAATATATCATATATTCTGCTATATTAAATTATATAATCAGCTAAAAGAAAAGAATTACTTTCAATAATAGGAGAACCGCCGTTTGGATAGAATTTTTTTTAAAAAAAAGCCATCAATGATTTATGGTATGTTGATCGGGGATAACGGAAACAAGTATGGTATGATGGTATGGTGACCGATGTATACATGTATGTTGTTATATATAAATGATGTATGTATGTGTGAATAAATACATCGGTCACCATACCATCTGGTGATCATGATTAAAAGCAAAATAAAATTTTAAATATATAATTTAAATAACGTTTCTTTTTATTCATGATAGGCATTTTTTTTACCTACAAATTAACTCTTTTTGATAATCAAATTTCATTGATTAATATTCTATTTTTGGTCAAAATTCCTCTATAACAAAATTTCTATTCCTTTAAATGAAAAAATAGACAAATGGCTTAATACTTTATTTGCGATCTTTTGTATGGAGTTTACTTACAGTACTTTACGGTCATAATTTTATTCTTCAGAAAGTCCTTAGAATTATATTTTCAAATTTGTATAGTAAATATGATTAAAATTGATTTAGCAATAGCAATATAAATTCCGTTTAAATTTGATCGTTTACTTCAATATTTTTAAGTTATTTGATTATTCGTTCAGACCAGGATGAATTATGAATATAAAACCAAAGTTCTTGAACTTATTTAATTGCATTTAAAAGATTCTAATTCTTCAGATATGATGTAGCAAACTTTATTTGTAGTTTGTCTCTTTTAGCGCAACTTGTTTGCTCTGCTCTTTAAAGACAGAACTAAAATAGTTTAAAAAATAGCAAGGAATATTATCGATAATAATTTTTAATTCCTCTTAATGAGCTCAATGCACCACTAAGAAAAAAGACATATTTAATTAAAAAAGTTATTAAATTAAATAATAAGAATAACTAATTAACTTACCTCATCATTGCCTCCTAGTCTTTCATTATGACAGACAACCTCTTGAAAAGAAAGTAAATTGAAAATCATGACTTCGTAAAATAATTGGTATTATCATTTGATTTCAAATATCCTTGATAATTGTCTATTTTACTACTATTAAACTTCCATTTTGATTGATTAACACAGCTTACTAAAATAAATTAAAATATAAATTAACTTTTTTAAAAAATTAAATTGAATAAAAATATCATGAATTCCAATAAATTTGTGTTGTATCTCAAATATAAAGCATCAGAGTTAAAACAATTATTTGCAAAAACCTAAATTTATTAAATATATGAATAAAATTTTATCTAATATCTATTAAAAACATACTATTTGACACTACTTCCAGTCGTATTTCGTAAATCCTTAATTGAACTTAAATATTTTTCTGTAGCTACGTGTTTTAAGCTACAAGAGATCCTTTTTTGAATCATCTATAAAAATTTTCCAAATTCATCAATCAATTCACTTGTTGAATTAACATTTTCCATTTTCTTCTACAATTCGTTTCGAAAAAGAAATATTATTAGGAATTGATTCATAAAGATATTTCTTTTGTGCTAGTAAATTACTAATTTCAGCATCACGGCAAAGTCCGCGAAATGTAATAATAAATTTTGAAGTTTCACCGCCTTGTGCTTAGGGAATGTATTTTAATAACTGTAATTTTTTATTTGTACATTAAAGATTGAGTATGAAATATCTTGTTTTAATGCGTTAATAAGTTCATCAAGAGAAGTTATCTTTTCAGGAATTTTAATTGTAGAATCAATCACTATTATTGTAAATTTAAGGATTTCTTCATCTTTTGTAATTTTATTTAAAGAACAGTATGCTTGAACTTGTTTTAACCATTCATTTGGGTGAATATTTCCATCATATATCGGAAGTTCCATTTTGGAGAAATGTAGTTCAATTAGAAAATACTACTATATATGTATATCATACAGTGTTGACAAAAATCTTAACTATGGCAGCCCGTAAAAGTCAAAAGCCTTATTGTTCAACTTCTTGCTTTTAACATATTATCATCGTGCAGCTTAAAAGTTCTCAGCGGGAAAATTTAAATGCGCAATTTTTGAACGTAAATCGCTATAACAAACAACTGTGGAGCTAAAAATTAATAGTAACTTTAAAACTAATTAATATGATTTGAAACCTTGTTAATTAATTTAAAATAATTTAATGTAATTTATTATTGATATAGAGTTCTAAGAAAGTAAAACTGAATGGTAATTTTATGCGTTTGAAATATTTTGACGTCAGATTTTTATGAACTTCAATTGTAACAATTCTATATTTTTTAAAATATTAATAAATTTTATATAATTTTGAACAGCTGCTATTAATATATCTTTAAAATAAAAAAAAGGGTGTAAGATTATATTTATGTCGGAGTGACCAAATTTAAAAAGTATCAATAATTTTTGTATAAATACAATAATTTATTAAATTTATCAAGAATTCCCATTGAATTTACTTATTATTTAAAAAAGTATAAGCAAATTTCATTTCTGAAATTGATGCGAATAAAAGTAAAGCAATTTCATTAGTTAATACTACCATCAAACTCCAAATCGGAATTGATAATTTTGAAAAGCTTCGTGATGCACTTAAAGAGGACATAACTTTTGCATATTCAAGAATACAAATAAAAGAAATTTGCAATTATTAAAATATATTCCGAGAGAGACTGCGGCGAAACTTCAAAATTCATTTTCAACTTTCGTCAATTATGTTATAATGCCGAAATCAATGATATTGAAGTGAGGAACAAAAGGAGCATTATCAACTCATGAAAGAAAATTTATTAAAAAAGAGTAAAGTAGCAGATATTTTAAGATAAAAGAGAGACCTATTTGTTAAATTTATTTCATATTACATAAAAGATTTCTTATAAAAATAATAAACCTCAAATAATTTATAAATTCCTGAATCTTCTAAAACTTTTAGAGTTTTCTGCAAAGTACTTTTGAGATCTTCCATATCTTTAGAAAAGACAATTTCATCCAGGACTTTGAATACTTTGTTAATTTTTGTGAAAGGTAGTATTACTTTCTGTCTTCAAATCCATTAATTGCTGATAGTCGATAAGGTTCATATTATAATTTTTCAATAGATTATTTAATAAGTATATGTTAATTTGATTTTTGTAATCTATCTCTTTTTGGTACTCAATTTTTGCTTCTAATCGTTTAATCTTTTTTTTCTTGCTCTTTCATCTTATTATTAATAATATTAGCAATATTCACAAACTCATTATTTGTTTCTCATAAATGTTAGATAGTTGTTCTACCATGTCCTTCAGCTTATTGAGATCTTTTTCAATAAAATTTCATTCATTAACATTTCTAAATAGTTCCCTTGCATGGTTCATCATGTTCTCAAATAGATCTTTGCATTTTATAATTCTCTTAGTATAAGCCTTTTTATTAAAAGATTTTTGGTTTATCAACAAATTTTTATTTTCAACATTGTTAAAGAAATCACGTGAAAGTTCATTCATAATAATTTTGAGTATTATGATATTTTTTTTCGAGCTTTAGATTTAAAATAAAAATAAAAAAATATGTTTGATATAAGAAAGAGGGTATATATTTATAAATACAAAGTATACGATGATGTCATGTAATTCTTATCAATAAACATGCTATAAAATAAAGAAAAAGTAATATACAGATCATAATGATTTAGATTTACTATATTCGTAATTAGATTTTAATACCCATATGTAATAAACTAGTCAAAATCAAAATTTCTTTGTTACGTAGCTGTAAAATAACAAGAAAAAGATTTGAAACAAATATATTTCATAAATTTTTTTCTTATTGAAAATGATGTAATAATTTTCAAAGTATATTTAATAATATATAATAAATGAATTTTCTTTTTTAATTTAATAATTTAATAATTAACAGATAGATTTAAAAAACAAAATCTGTCATAAGAAAAAATTTTATAAATATTCAAAATTCACAGGTAATATACAGAGTTTTTATATTGGTTTGGTAATTTAGAATTGGTTTATATGTATAAGGAAAACTTTTAGAAAAAATTGCGAGTAAAAATATATTGTTTCTGGCTTAATTAAATTTGTTAAAGACTAAGTCAAATGCTCTATGTAGATATTTCTTAAACATTAAGGCTCATTTCTCTCTTAAGACCCATGATTATTTGAGAGATTTGCCTCTAGCAGTAGAGAATATCGCTGTAGAAAAGAATTGGCTAAGTTCATATAATACAAAGTTTATGAATAACTTGGATAGTGGACACTTCTCTAAGACAGAAAAGTTAGTCTCTCATCTTGGCCTGAGAAAGAATTATGTCATCCACTACTAAGAACTCCAATACTATGTGAAGTTAGAAATGGTTGTAGATGAGATCACAGAAATCCTTTCCTTCGATTAAACTAACTGGCTTGTTCCATATATTGCATTTAATACAGAAAAATGATAAGAGGCTAAGAATACCTTCAAAAAAGACTTCTTCAAGCTCATAAATAATTCTGTATATAGTAAGTAAGCGTATATATAGAAAAAGCCAACGTGACTCTTAATAAGTCTATAATAGTTAAGGCATCAGTATTAGATCTTAGCAAGCTTCACGTGTATCACTTTTGGTATGAATATATAAAGGAAAGATATGGTGATAAGACCCAGCTTGACTATATAGATACTGATTTCTTTATATTTCAAGTTGAGACTGAAGATATTTATAAAGACATAGCTGAACGATCAGATTTCTTCAATTTCAATGATACTAAAACTATTATACTTTATAAAGATGAGACCCCTGGCAATATAATTATAGAATCTATGCATATTCACTCTAAATTATACCACTATGTTTTAGCAGATAAGTCTACATAGTCTAAGCATAAGGGATTAATAAGAAGGGTATGAATGAGATAGCAACAGATACATATATGCCATCTTTAGAGGAGTTCTTACTAGATAATCCAATAGATAAGTCTTTATAAGAAGCTATGCAAGCTGAGACAGATCCCATAATTCTAGTCTATTGAGATTATCTCTTTGGTAAGAAAGTATTCTATACTAAGAATTTAGGTATTTGATCAAAAGATCACATATTATTTCTGGTTAAGTCTGAGAAGAAGGCACTCTACTTATAGATACTAAGAACTGGATTCTATCTGATAGGATTACCCCTTTGTCATATAGACATTAGCGTATTTAAGCCTATAAGAATATGGTTAAGTCTGGTATAACTGAAGAGCAGGCCGAAAAAAGAGCTATAACTGCAAAGCTTCTAGAAAAGTATCAGAATGAATGTACTGATCACATAGCTAATCTATTCCATTAAACTAAACTAGTGAAATATCTTAAGAAGTGTCTTAAATGCCAGAGTATTATTATATATTTTTTTTCTTGTGAAATAAATATTAAGTAATACCCTCTAAAATGAAAATTACGCAAAAGCAATCTTCCAATCATTCTAGCGAGTATGTAAAAAATATAGAAAAGCTATCAAAGTTAGCAGAACTCAATCATCAAAATTCTATCCCTTAGATTGTAAAGGTTTGCAGGCAAATTTGCCTACTTATTTACTACAAATTCCCTTCTGATTTACTTTTATGAAAAATTAAAATTTTTTAAAAAATTAATTTTATAAATATGTATTAAATTATAGTAATTTTTATTTTTTAATTATATAATTAGTCTGGAATGAAGTGAAGGACTATATATGTCTACGTAAAGTGTCCCGATGTCCGCCCGCTCAACTTGTGAATAGATGCCATATAATTGGTTCCTACTGTTTCACAACGAATCATGAAATTGACAAAAATAGAAATATGACATACATGTATTTTATTAAAAAAAAATAATAAACAAATTTTAAACTTTTTGAAAAACAAACAAAAAAATTATACTTTTTAATTTATGCGTTCTTTGGTTATTCTATATAAATCAAAAAAAATAAACTTCTCATTGCACGACAAAATATACCGCTAAATCTATTGTTACTAAATGTGTGAAAAAAAACCACCTTTTCGTACGATTTGTTTTTTTTTTCCTTTGCACTAATGTACTAATCCTGTTCTTGAGATATTAAAAAAAGTAGGCGCTCTTCTTCGTTTTTTCTTTCTTGAAGTCTTTTACAAGCCTTTATTCATTGAAGCCTGTCAAAGGTAAACTGCTTAAAGAAAATATCTCTAAGAGAACGGACCCTTGATACTATGACAAACGAAAGACCTGCTGTGAATTCTCAACTCCTGAGATCTATTTTAGTTTTTGCCAAAGTGAGTCCTGACTCTTGTGGACTATTATTGCCCACGTGAGACATATTGGAATTTAAAGCTGAGAACAAGCCATTCCAGATTTAGATTCCCAGGTGCGTTTAATAAGTACAATCGGAACAACGTTGACATCTCCAATTTTTGTGATAGTGGGTTCTTCGTAATGATTGAACTTGATGAAAACTGCTGTAGAAAGTGAAGGTGGTCCCTGTTCCTCAAATAGAATGTCTTGTACGGTTCCCATTGCACCGTTAACTAAACTGACTTCAGTCCATAAATTTGCCGTGAGCATTACGCGAGTCCCTTTTGCCAGTAACAGTTGAACCTCAAGTTCCTTCGCCACATCGGAGTCAGCTTTTTTTGCCTCGCTTCCTCCACTATGTATCGCTGTAATCTTTGCTACTGGTCTGCTCAATGAGCTAAGTATCTCTATGTTTACTTTGTCTACATCATCCCACTTTGTAAGGATAAAGATGGAATCTGAAAACTGATCCTATTCGGTCTTGTCGAGTTTTCCTTCAAATCTTGTACTGAGCTTTTTCCAATCATCAAGATTGCATTCACCCTCTCTCATTCTTAGAAGTAAGTCTCTAAAGGTCTGCCGTTCTTCAGAGTCACCTGATTGCCTTTGAACCACAT